CTGGCTGCGCTCAGCCTGCACCGCGGCCGGGGACATGGCAGAGCAGAGGTACTGCGTGGACTATGCCAAGAGAGGCACCGCAGGCTGCAAGAAGTGCAAGGAGAAGATCGTGAAGGGAATGGTGCGAATTGGGAAGATTGTTCCTAACCCGTTCACCGAGTCCGGAGGGGACATGAAGGAATGGTACCATGTCAAGTGCATGTTTGAGAAGCTGGACAAGGCTCGGGCCACCACCAAGAAAATTGAGGATATAACAGATCTGGAGGGATGGGAAGAGCTACAGGATGAGGAGAAAGAAACAATCAACAAGTACATCTCAGGTGAGACATGAGGCAGCACCTGGGGCACTTACCTGCTTATTTTCAAGTTATGCCACTGGTTGTCACCTACCTGTGCCTTTACCACAAACACATAGAGTGTTAAGGGATTGGAATGGACCTGAAAGATCACCTACTCCCACCCCCCTGCCCTGGGCAGGGACACCTCCCACCAGACCAGGTTGCTCGAGGCTTTATCCAACCTGGCTGTGAACACTTTGGGGCATCCACAGCCTCCCTGGGCAACCTGTGCCAGTGCCTCACCACCCTCAGAGTAATTCCCATGGATGTATTTGTATGGCTTATGACAGAGTGGGTAATGCTGATCCAATCCTTGTCTTAGCCCTGTAGGAAAGGGAAGAAACAGTCACTTCTACAGTGGCACTTGATTCATTTGTCACAACTGATCATGGAAAAGATCCAAGTGATTTAATTCATGGGCAGATAAATCCCAGGTGGAAACATCAGTTATTTTCCACTTTTCCCATGATCTTTAGTAAATTATTTATTCTTTTAACTTTTGTTGTCTGACAAACACCCATTCTTTGTCTCCTCCATCTCAAGTTTTTTTAAGACTTTGATGCAGTATGTCACATGTAATGTGTCGAGGGATGTCTGAGGTGGTTTCTGACTGCCTGTTTGAACATTGCTGCTTTGCAGAAGCCAATTCCAAGACTGCAGGTACACCTAAGAAGAAGGTGATAGTCCAGGCTAAGCTCACTGCCACAGGACAACTGACTACAAAAGATCCATTAGGTCTTGCCAATCCATCACCAAAGAAGTTCTCTGGCTTCTCAGGTAAGAAACTGATTCTGGGACATACATTTCTTCTAACCTCAGCATCAGAGGTGTTTTTACTTGGCTCAGGTCAGGTTTAGTCGTAATTAGGCTTTTTTTCATTCTGATTTGCCAAAAGTTAGTGCTTTCTTAGGCTGTCAGTCTTGAAAGAACATCTTGGAAGATACTTGAGTTTCTGCTGCTCCCAAGGAAACAAGTTCTGCAGTAACCCCTGTTGTCAGGCTGATGTCTTGCTGACTCCATACTGCCTTCACCCATTGGCCAATTTCAGTCAAACCAAAGGTATAGGCTTAAGTTTTATCCCATGTGGAGCTGTATCCCCTGTAAAAAACTGGTTGTGAGAGATTCCCAGTTGAGGTGTCCATGGAAAAGGAAACTGTTACACTTCAGCAGGTTGTCCTGAGAAGCAGCTGCCAGAGGGAAAGTCACTGTGTGAGCACTGACTGACCTAACACCAACCTGTAGCTCCCCAGAGCATGTGTAGTCACACACACAGCCAAAGAGATCACCTCCTGTAGGGGTGTTAGGAGAAAAAGGGGGTGGGAACAATTTTCCCCTATTTTAGAAAGGATTTTATGAAAACATCTTGCTGTGAAGG